ATTTCCAGAATTTCATAAAATAAATGATAAGATTTCGATATCATTTTTTTTCTCTCACTTGCTTCCTTCTTCCTTATCAATTACCTTATCAATTCTAATATTTGGAGTTGAAACAATTAGTGATTATGAAAATATTTTATCTAAATGATTTTCTTCATATCTTCTTAAAGGCTTATATTTCCTTTCTTTTTTCAAACAGAAAATTTCATATTTCTATTATTGAAAGCAAAAATTTCATATTTCTATTTCAGTTTTTTTTTGAAAATAATTTCATTTTCTTTTCAAATAAAATTAAAATTTTCAAATATAACTGAAAATTTCCTAATCTCTTTCTAATAATACTATCATGTAAAGGTAATTAAGGAATAAAATTTAATTTCGATTTCGTCAACCAGAAAACTTATAATTTCAAGAGTTTATAGTTATAATTTTTTATGAAAACATATAATTTCTCATTATAATTTCAAGTTTTTTTTTGCAGATATTAACTAATATAACTACTGCTCAAACAACTAAAGATGCCATTCAATCTGTTTTTCTTTTTTGGATGAAACAGGTAAAAAAAAAAAGAAATCAACGATTACTTATTAATTTGAATTATGAGTAAGTTTGGAATAAAATTTATTTAGTAAATTTGAAAACAAAATTCAAATATAATTGAAAAATTTTCAATTTCTTTCCAATAAAACTATTATATAAAAGACAATCAAAGGTTTGATTTTAAAATTTGGTTTGATTTTATCCATAATGAATTTGATGAAATACAATTTTCACATTGCTTTGATATCACATCCATTTCTTCAGACAATGAATCAATTAGAAAAAGAAAAAGCTAACCAAAAAGTAAAATATAATATAAAAATATGAAATAAAATAAAACTTACTCAAATCAGATTATCATATCAATGAAAGACTTTGAATTGATATCAAAAAATAATTGAAAAAAAGGTACTTTTTTCCTTTCTTTTTCTTTTTTTTTAGTTCTGGGCGCATTTGTCATTAACAATTGCTCTCGTATTTATATTTCTTCTACCAATAAGTGGACTTTTTTTCTTCTGCAATCAATGTTGTTGTAATTATGGCAATACAAAGCGTAACGATGTTTGTCAAATTTATAATTCATTCTTTAAGAACAAATTTCCATATGTTCTAACATTAAATATTTTTGGAATTCTCATTTCAATTCCTAAATTGTTTAATCAAAAATTTCATTTAATTAAGTACAACATAACTTTAATTCCTAAATTATTTAATTAAATATTTTACTAACAATATATTTTATGAATGTAAAACAAGATTTTAAAAAATAAAAAATTGCAATTTTTTAGACTAATTCATTTGAAATAATTCCTTGTTGTTATTTGGTATTATTAATTGGATTACAAGCTGTTATGATAGGATCATTAATGATAAGCTTAGAAAGTGTTGATCATACATTCAACAATACAAAAAACATCAACAAATTCGTCCGAAATATTTCCAAAGGTTAAATTGAATAATTAATTTCAATTAAAATAATTACTATCATTTAACACACTAAATTAATAACTTCAATTGTTTCGATGAAATTTTTGAAACATGTTATTTTTATTAACATGTTTCAAATTTCATCGAAATAATTATAGTAATTAATTTTGAAAATTAAAATATATTGTATGTTTGGCTTATTTTTGCTTATTATTCTTTATGGCATTTTTTTTTTTATCAACGAAAAATTTCAAAATATAATCAGGAATAGTGAAGAAAAGTTCTAAAGTCTTCACGCTAGAAAAAAAATTAATTAATTAAGGAAAGAACAACCATTTTCAGTAATATTTTGAATTAATTAATTAATTATATTAGAATACCTTTTAAAAATTACAAAATAAATAGAGTTCTATGCAAATAATTTCAATCTATCAAGGTATTCATGAACTTTAAATGATATCAGCTATATCGCTACAATTAATTGGATTATTTCTTAATTAATTTTTCCAAAATGATTTCCTTGTTTTTCAGATACCATAAATGTAATTAAAATTATATTTGATGATGTGAAATGTGAAATGCATATGACACTGGATATGACATTCAACAAAATTCGACATCTTCTATGGCAATTACCAAGTAATACATTTAATTATTACAAGGAGACTGATGGATATATAAATATGCAAATGGTTTGCTTTTTTCTTTTATTTAATTTTAATTTCAGAAAAATCTTTCAAATAGAAAAAAATTTTTTAATAATTATGCTAAATTTTCAATATTTTCCAAATGAATATGTATATATATGCTTTTTCCTATAACTAATTATCAGTGTCGGTTAGATTTTAAATTTTGGATTATCAGATTTATCATTTTCTAATTTGATACTTGACGATTTTGAAAGTAAATAAAGATGGAATGAAAACGATTAATTATAAGAAAAATATTGAAATGTACACGCTTAATAAACTAATTGTAGACAACAAAATTTGATCTCGATGAATTGAAATTTAAATTTAAAATGAAAATTTTTGAAGGTAATTAATGATATGAAGAATATAAGTTGGACATTGAATAAAACTACTACATCTTTGCAAAAAAGTATATGTGATATTCGCAGTTTACCGATAATTTTGCAAAAAAAGTTGGAAAATTTAACAACGCTTATCGACGATATTATCAGTTATGCTTATCAAATAAATGTGGTTAATATCTTTCTCATAATTATTATGCAAATTATTTTACTGTTCACCCGTATTTTTTCAATCACTTTTTATCATTTTTTTTAAATTATCATAACCGATATCATTTTAAGCTAATGTTGCTTTATTACTTAATGAATTAACTTATTTCAATTAATTTCAAATTTTCTATTTTATTGACAAAACAAATTTCCACTGCTTATTTCTTTTTGCTAATTAATTTATAATTTTATTAAGCATTACAATAATGTGCATCAAATGAATAACACATGGAATAGCCTGGATCATTTAATGTTTAATACAAATGAAATGGTATTAATCATTTTTTTTTCCTTATTTTCTAATTATTTGCTGCAAAATTTTCATTGATAGCAAATGAATTAATGCTTGAAGTGCAAACTTCTATCTAAGGTTACCTGCAATAATTCATTATTTTATTAATTAAATTATGACGAAAGATAAATGAAAAATGATAATTCTTAGTAACTGATATTTTATCACTTATCATTTTGTTCAACAAAAATTACATCATATCCAATAAAAAGGAAAATGTTACTCTTACTGATAATATGATAATTATTCTTAGAAAAACATCATGGAAGAAGGAAATGGATTAATGGATGATGCTAAAAAAGAAACGATGAAATTAATTGGAATAATTTACAATGGAAGTGTTGATATCATTAAATTCATTCAGAAAAATTACGAACAAATGGATAATATTCATAAACAATATATTGAAAGTAAAAAAAAAACAAAATTATTTTAAATATTTGTAA